TCATCTTTCTTAAGATCAATTACATCTCGTTTCTTTTCCTTAATCACTTTATCTGTAGTTTTATCGACTACATACTCGTCAGCGCAATCCAATAATTCTTTTTCAGCATCAGCGTCACCAATTTGTTTGGAAAGGTAGTCACGAGCTTTGTTATAGTTATCTACCCAATCACCTTTATATTTATCCGCTGCATTTTTTAGGTATGAGAGGTTAATAGCAGTTGCAAGACTTGATGAAAACTCGGGTAATTTGAGTTTCGGATTAGTAATGTTCTCTTTAATTGTATCAATAATTTCTTCTTTAGGAGCATGCAATTCCTTACATACTGAATCATCAATTTCAATGCTGCCATCGTCTTTTTGTTTAGATACAATTTCTTTATGTTTATCTGGAGAAGCTGATTCTTGAACAACAGCAATTGCAGCTTCTTTCTTATGATCTTTGTCAACCTTTTTAGTAATGTTTTCAATGATATATTTATCAGTGCAATCTAACAATTCTTTTTCAGCATCAGCATCTCCAATTTGATCAGAAAGGTATTTACGAGCTTTATCATGTTTATCTTCCCATTGTTTTTTATGATGTGGTGCGGCGATATTAAGGTAGCTAGTAGCGAGTGCTGTCTTCCACCATGGTTCTGATTTTGGAGATCTAAGTTTTGGATTTTGTGTACATTTTTTCACTTCAGTTACTACATTGGTAACTGGGACGTCTATTTCTTTACAAATTGTTTCGCTAACTTCAAAAGATCCATCATTATTTTGCTTAGACACTATGTCATCGCATTTTTCAGGTGTGGCAGACTCTTGTACCGTTGCGACTGCAATTCTCTTTTTATCTTTAATCACCTTCTTAATACAATTATCAATTACATAATCGTCTGCGCAGTCTAAAAGTTCTTTCTCGGCATCTTCATCTCCTATTTGGTCTGATAGATATTTACGAGCTTTATCATGTTTATCTTTCCATACACTTTCATGTTTAGGTGCAGCTTTCTTAAGGTATGATAGGTTAATAGCAGTTGAAAGAATTGATGGAAGATTGGGTAATTGAAGCTTTTTATTTGTAAGTTTTGGTTGAATTGTTGTAATAATTTCTTCTTTAGGTGCATCTAGTTCGTCACAAACTGTATCGCT